TGGTTTTGTAATTTGGGATTAACAGCGTGAATTATATGATTCAATAGACTTCTCACTGTGGACATTTAGATTTGTCAAACACAGGTGAAAGTAATAACATTAATATGGTCTGCACTTCATCTATGTGATCCAGGGTATATTTATTGTTCATGCTCGCAGGCTTAAATTACTAGCACACAAATGGAACAGGGAGGTCTGAAGGTCTAAAACATGTTAATGCCTGTATTTCATGGCTTTGTCATTTGAGATTAACCATGTTAATTTCAATAGACCTTTCTTACGTTTTTCATTTTGACATGTCTAACACAGGTGAAACTAATAACAATAATAAAAGCTGCATTCCATTTAGTTTCTCCATTTCCAGGGTGCTTGTAATGTGCATGTGGGTTTAGTAGCTTTGATTCCTGACACACCTAAATTGAACAGAGCCATCGAAAATGTTACTAGTTTGACCTGTGTTTGACAAGTCAAAATGTCAACCCTGTAGGTCTATACAGTGTATGTTAATACTACTCACTACCCATACCTATATGCAAATTTGCCATAATGAGCCTGCACGGAGAGATGAGTTTACCCCTACTAAACCCTGACTACTGCGACCTTAAAGGGGAATAACTCATTATTGAATCAATTGTCTGAATGTGTTTTGTTTGATTTTGTTTCAAACCAGCAATAACCCCTAACTCTACTGTGCAAGAGGTATCAGATATGGTTAAAGCTGTGGTGTAATATCTGAAAATTTTCCATTAACAAGGTATATCAAAATGTCAACCCTGTAGGTCTATACAGTGTATGTTAATGATTTTGACATACACAGCCTTCTATATTTCACCCTATTTTAATAACACATTTTAAATGAGTAATTTTCATCATATAGAAAATAAATGAGGCTTCAGATGGTGTAATGAGTGCAAAGTTCTTGGAATATGGGAAGTGTAGTTCTAATTTTGAAAAACACTGTATCACTATTGTAACACGTGTTTCAATTGTCTACAGTAATTATGCCAAGGTATCAGAATTAATTTGGTTAATTAATTTTAAAATGTTTAGAAAAATATGCAAGCTGTCACCAATAGAGACCCCTTAATTCTAACAGTGTCAGTAGCTTTCTGCGTGTTTTTAACTGTACATATTTGTCCTTTTCCCCCCCTCCCTCCTCTCTTCTTCTGGTCCTTCTGTTTTCATCCAGGACCGGGGGCCATACAGGGGCGAGGGACCGGTTTACATGCAGGAATGAGTGTCAGCGTGTGTGTCTGGGTTTCCCTCTCTGCTTTTCTTCTGCTGAAGGTGTAAAGATCGAGCTCCACCTGGAATTGTCCCTTAACATCCCTGAAAGGCCCGCCTCCCCCTCCCTCCCTCCCTCTCTTCCCCTCTCGGAAAGGAAGAAGGAAATGAAATTCTTTAATTACGAACCCATCACTGTGAACAAAAAGAATATGCATTAATCCAGGAGCCATTGAATCATTGCATAACACACAACCACATCACACCCCCACCCCCAAAACCTGAGCACCCTCAATTCAATTTCGGGGTCAAATCATTGCCATTATCTCTTCCTCTCTCTCTCTCACACACACACTCTGAGTCTGTCTCTCTCTCTTTTTGTCTCCCAGAATGCCTTGCAGATTTGTCTGACTTGGTACTTCCCTCCTCACCCTATTTTCCCCTCATTATTACCACTCGGCTGATGTTGATAGAGAGTGTACATTAATGATTATTGTGTCAGTGATCAACAAGAAAATAGATAATCTAACAACTGGACGATCATTTATGTAATATACTACATAGACTAATGACTCACCTACAATGTTTGCCTTATGGAAATGATACATTAAATCACAATATTATGGTGGATATTTATGGAAATTATAGTTATAATGTGGTACTGGCGGTCATGTGACCTTTTGAAAATTGTCCAATTGGTGGCCATGTGAAGTGTCACCCTTTGATCACACACCTACACACTCACACACACACACACACACACACACGTATGGATTTTTGATTTTAACTGTGTAGCAGTGAAGCTGCTATGAATGATGTCAAAATGTATTAAAAAAAGGGTGGGTGGTGACGGCGTTGGTCTTAACTACCCCTTTATGTAATTTGGGCGGTTTATACCAAGGTTTCGCATGTTGGACACCCTCACTACCCAAACCTTTTTAGCCCCACCCCCCTGCCCCTCTGTTCAACGTGCTCTGTCTAGTCGCCCTTCGCATCGCTATAGTGTTCTCTGCTCCGTGTCACCCCTCTCCTCCCTCCGTCTTCCTCCCCAGTGTAAATATATGCAGTACAGAGGCCACGCTGGCGACCTCAAGTTGCCTGGCACTGAACAACATCTCCCATCAGCCTCGACTACGCTCCAGCTTTCTGAAGCAGCAAGAGACTGTCCAGTGACAACAATATCTTCTGTTTCAAAGCTGCAGCTCCATCCTCTTTGTCGCTTGTTGATAGCATGTACTGGTTAGAGATGTTCCTATTGTGAGTCCATACTCCCTACACTCCCTCCCTCCCCTCCCTCCCTGCACTGTGTCTGTTTTACTCTGCAAGGTTACCTGCTTTTACTTTTTTGGTGTTAATAATAGTACAGATGATGATGATGTTAATAAGTATTTGAATAACTATGAATAGTAATTCCATGTGAGAAAAAAAATGAACAAAATCTGATGGTAATGAGCCGTGCGTGGGAAAAATAATTTTTGTACTTTACTCCGAGAAGTCACACACATTGAACGACTACAATGAAAAAACAAACAAAAAAAGATGTAAAGTTTTCGAAGTGATGTGCTCTATTTTGCCATGATAAGCTTTTTAAAAACGCATTTGAAACAGTCTGAGGGATTATTTCATCCGAGTCCAGAAGCAGTGAATGATGATGTAATTTATAATTTGTAACAGTTTATGTATTGGACTCTTTTTCTCATGCTGTTAACTGCATCACACACACACACATTTACAGCATATTTGTCCACTTATCATAGTGTGTCTCTCTCCGACCAGCTAGATAAATGATTTGGATCCATGTCAGTCTCTGGTCGTGGCCGTAAGTCGGTTCTTGTTCAGCCCGACCGCAGGGAGATAAAGATGTAATTAGCCATTACCTGTGGCTGGCTAAGTGAAGGAGCCTGGGCTCCACCTGTCCCTCCTGCAAGCCAGTGATGGCCCCCATAAATCAAGCTCAATCCTGCCACTGACAGGAATCCTCTTCAAGGACAACCTCGCCTTGGTGCACCAGTATTCCCTCCAATGTGTACCTGTGACATGCAGGCGTGGGCACTACAAAACCCCCATGGCACAATTATCCATCCAGTTCCCCCGCACAGCACAAACAGTGGGAGGTAAGCCCATATTTCAATACAGTGGCTCTACAGTTTCTCCACTGAAACACTGTTCCACTCACATGCAGCGACTATATGCAAATTTGCCATAATGAGCCTGCACGGAGAGATGAGTTTACCCCTACTGAACCCTGACTACTGCGACCTTAAAGGGGAATAACTCATTATTGAATCAATTGTCTGAATGTGTTTTGTTTGATTTTGTTTCAAACCAGCAATAACCCCTAACTCTACTGTGCAAGAGGTATCAGATATGGTTAAAGCTGTGGTGTAATATCTGAAAATTTTCCATTAACAAGGTATATCAAATCAGTCTGTTGTTGTACTATTACTGTGTACAGTACTATGAAATGATTGTGAAGCTCTGTTTAAATGGCCCTTATTCTAAAACACTACATGTTGTACTCAAAAAGTCTTGCCCTCTGCGATGTAGTCGGGTTGTCTGTGTGACAGAACACACACTGTTTGTGCTTGCATGTTGTTGCTCCAAAAATAATGACGGATTCCATTTCAAGCACAAGAGCAGGTCGTTTGGTCAGTGCATCTTTTTTCTGTCTCAGTCACCATTTCATCTTCTCAGTATCTGTCTTTAATGCTGTATTTTTGTTTTGTTTTGTTCCCCACTCCCATACTGTACACTGTTCATGTCAGCGTCCCACTGGATTTGTCAGTGGCATATAACATCTGTATGTACATAATCTGTCCTTGATGAAGAAAAAGAACAAAAAAACAGAAGAAAACATAAAAAAAAAGAACCACGGACAAAAAAATAACATACTGTCATGTTTCTCAATGTGGGTTTGAAAAAAGCACGTCAATGTTCATGTATGGGTGGATTTTGAAAAAAAAAAAAAAACAAGCAAACATTGTATGTTGTGTTCAGGTTTATGGGTAAAGGGTTCAGATGGAGGGGAATTCGGGCAATATGACTTGAAATCATGGAGTGGTGATAAACAGAATGTGGGTATTTGTACAAACAAACAGCAAAAGAACATGTTTTTATGAGTCATGATGTATGTAAATGAGTCACACTTATGGTGTGAGAGAGGAGCACTGGAGAGGGTGTGGGCAAGGAGGCCACAGATCCCCTGGGTGAATAATTGGAGGGTAGATGAGGATGCTGTCGAGAGAGCACCCGGTCCGACGGGCCTGTGGGAGGATACCCTGACAATGCAAATCCAAAAGCTGAGAGCCAGAGGGAGATGGGATGACACTAACCAAACACTGAACTCTCCATTTAGGGGAAGAAGATAGACAGGCGCTCATATTGCATTTCCAAACTTTGGCGCTCCCAAGAGAAGGTGTACCGCACACTATTTATGGTTGCACTATGTAATATGAATAGCATTAACATAGCCTTGATCACAAACACAGTCTGGCCTACTTCAAGTGTATAAATAACACCCCAACTGGGGTTCAATGAGTTTACAGTGATATAAACAAGACGTTTGCTCGGCCCCTAATTACATTCGGCGCACCCTGATGAGAAAGTGCTGATTGGCTCCTGCATCTGAAGGTTATGATGATCTGTTTACAGAATCTTTGTTAATAAGGTGCCATGGAGTTGTTGTTTAGACCTTACACAACTAGAACATAGTTTACAGTACATAGCATTATATTGCACTTTAATAGTTGTACTTTAGTTTGTTTATGGTTTATTAATTAATGAGTTTACACAGGGGATAGCTGGAGAAGTAGGTGAATTAATATAGTTGTAAAATAATTAGACACTTTTTGTTTTGTTTTTATTTTTGTTAACATATCAGTGCAATGTTGTGACACGGATTTTAGGAACAGGGTTTGTAAAATACTTTGAAATACATTTAATGGTCACTGAGCACGGTGCCTTTGCTGAGAAGAGTCAGGTAATGAAGCTCTTTAGGTTATAAGGACTGACACAGCACATTGTTCCTGAACTGATGCAGTGATATAGTAAAATAATGATGGTGCTTTAAAGCCCAGACTGTAGAATAGTAAAAGAAGTGTACAGTTGGCCTGGAGAAGGTTTGAATGTACTGCTTTCTTCGTTTTATATGTGGCAGGGTCAGGCTTTCCTACAACACCCTCCCTATATAGAACAGATCCCGGACAGACTTTCAATTCAGAATGCAATGGTTAATCAATACATTCGACTGAATGGCTTTGGAATAGAGCAATTGCTCCCTGGCCTGCCTTACCAGGTCCCCAGAAGCTGAATTGATCAAGTGTCTATAGACCAGCCTTAGAACAGAGAGCATAATTCATCATGCCTGATACAAGACACCCCTAATTGTGCATCGATTTTAAGCTCTTCTCTGAAACTATTTGGGCAAGCTGTAATGTCAGCTCAGTAAACTATGTGTTCAGAGCTATGGTTCAGATCCAGCGAATGAAGGATTAATCACCTGTTTTTCTTTTCTAGTCAGTCTAGGTTGGTATTTCTTGTTTGTTTTGCTGCATAATATAGTACATACATGCTCCCTGGACACATAATTTACCGGCTGCTATGGTACATTATATTATATTATTAATGACAGAGATGTAACCTATATCATTTTTCAGTTGCCAGTGTCAGCAGCTATTGACACTGGGTATCTAGAGGCTTATGTCTGGTTGTAAAATACACACATTATAATATTATAGGAAATTATATGTAACAGAATAAAATTTACTAATGCGAGACACAGATGTTGCAGCACCAGAGTCAGTATACCAAAAGGATATGCTATGCAGAGTGACAATTATATATGAATGATTATCATTGTTATAAATCCCCTGTTCACGTCCTTTACAGCAAAGCATGCCTAATTCCCATATATTATCCTAATTATCCATTGTTTACCAACTATCTACAGGCTCATTCAGTTCTCTTGGGCAAAGTCAGTGTTGCAAGTCTATTAAGGCCCAGTACTTTTCCATTACCACAGCTAATGAGTGCATTAGTATACAGCATGCAAGACAGGATTGTGACGAAGAAAGTCTCAATAACATTGGGCACGAGGACACTTCAGGTGTTGGAAATGACATAATTGTTAATTTAAACAGTCACCTGCAAGATGTTCTGTATAGCTAGTTGTT